ACATATATGAGCCTTAATAATCTTTTCAAAGACTTTGCCAAGGATGGAGGTAAGACTGATTCTCTCTAACATCTTTACAGTGTAGCTTTTTCTACCTTCCACACAGCTCAAAATTCCAATCCAGGTTCCCACCTGATGTCGCAATTAGTGCAAAATCCTCCTCTCTGCCCATAACAAGTAAGATTCTCTTGTGTTCACACCTGCTGCAAAATTCTTCCCCTATCCTTTAACCCAGGGGCTGTCAACCAGGGGTGCACATACCCCTAGGTGTACTTAGTAAGGACATAGGGGGTACACGTAGGCAAGCAGGCAGATGGGGACAAAGCGTGCCCCAGGGCTCAGCGACAGTGTCTTCCCAGTGCCTTCCCATACTTTGCTTTTTACCTGGGGGAGTGGGAGGTGCGTGCCGGGTACCACTGGCCCCACACAGCACACCACAGCACCTCCCCACCCCTACTTGTTTTAACTAGGCCCACTGTATTGTGCATCTCTCATTTATCAAGACATTGTCTCTCCTCTCCTACCAGCCTTCCTTGTTCACTCATTATGTTGTCAAACAAGTCACCTTCATGCTTTCTCAGGCTGCCCCTCCTACTTGGGATAGGCATGCTCCCTTTCAACTATTCCTTAAAACTTGGAGCTGTGATGCTTTGACAACAATAGGCTACTGGCATGCTGAAACCAGCCTCCTTCATGTTAAGCAGTCTTGTGTCGACATTTCCTATACTCTGTTGTCTGTTCTCTTACATTTAGCCTGTAAGCTCTTTGGGGCAGGGACCATCCTTCAGTGCTGTGTTTGTGCCATGTCATAGTGATTCTCAAGTGACAGCTGCATTCCCTCCAACAAATCCCTATCCCCAAGCAGCCTTTGCACTATTAGTACTGTATTTTGTTGCCTCATGGGTGGGTGCGGGGCTGCAGAGCCGTACTTTTTATGTAGTGGTGATGGCAGCAGAGAGGAGCTGCAGGGCAGCCTGGGCCTGGCAGAAGTGAGGGGGAGGGGCCACTGTTCCTCCCCCCTCCCCCCTCCATGCTGAGCAGCAGCTTCTGCCTGGCTGCCTGCTGCCATTGCTCAATGTGGGCGGACGGTCCAGAGCAGCTGCTGGGGGGGCTGGGTTCAGGGTTGTGCGGACAGGTTCCAGCTGATCCAGTCTGGAGTGGGCTATGGTCAAGGCTGTGCGGTGTTGGTGGTGGCAGGGAGGAGCTGCAGGGTATACAGCCTTCAGGCTGTTGCAAGGTGATGGCGGGGGCAGGATTTGCTGACCAGCTTGTGTGTGTGTGTATGTGTTACGTGTGTAGTTGTGTGGGGTTCCTATGCACATCCCACCATAGCCACACACCCTCCCCTACAACCACACCCTCCTACACACACAGTCACACCCCCACAAACACCGCATCTTCCCATACCCTCCCCCCATCCCCTGCCCATATGCCTACACCCCTCCCACACCCCACCACACACGCATCCAGACCCCACCCACACCCCACACACAATATACAGGAGTAAGACTTTATTTGAGCTGTTATGCAATTCCCTCTATATACACCATGCAAACGCACATAAATAAGGACAGAAATATTTTTAAAAATAAAATGTTATAATAGATGTTTGATTTTTAGTATATGATTTATTTTCTTTCTGGTTCCAAGATGGCAAACCCTCTTCCTAAAAGGAGTACTTCCAGGGCAAGGGGAGGGACTTCTGATGGCAAAAGTTGGGGGGTTAGGGGCGGGACTTCCAGTTCCAAGATGGCAACTGGGGGCAGGGCACCTGTCTAGGGTCAGTGCTACTCTTGTGGCCCTCAACAGCTCATCAAAACTCATTAAGTGGCCCTCCAGCCGAAATAATTGTCCACCTCTAATTTAGACGCATGGCAAGGAGCATCATTTCTATTATTATTACAGACCTTGAGAATTACAGTTATGGAGTTGTTAAGCATGTGGGCAGCAATTATGGAAGCCTGGTGTTGTAGTACCAAGGCACAGAACCACTGGTTTACAGGTTTGCACAAGTGTAATTAAATGTCAAATGTGTCCATTATAGCATTAAGCCAGCTGCAGCAAGTAAATAAAGGACTTGATTGGCAAGTAATGAAGATTCAATTAAGTTTATTTATCCTAGATGACTGGCTTTAGGCTCTAGAGCACATGTAACTCGAGAGGTTTTCCTTTACATTACTGATTTCTGCATTGTGACTAGCGAAGGGGAATGCTGTTTTCTCAAAACCATTTAGAATAGTGAAATAAACTGTTAAAAACACTATTACAATGTTTAGCCATTTTTAAATAGCTGTGTCAGTGATGCCTCATTTTTAGCATTAGTGAAACTATTATGCCATATGTTCGCATGCATTGAAATTTACAAAAGACATTTTTAAATGTTTAGATTTCTACAGATTTTGCAAAGGTTGTGCCTGCTAGCTTCCTTCCAAAGCATGAAAGTCCCCTTGTTATACAAGTGCCCACCTTCCTGGCTAAAACCTCAGCTAGCTGGTTGAAGACAAATGGACTGAAAGGTATTGTACGCAAATGAATTTCCTCTAGTGTGAAATGCTAATGATAGTTTGTGTTTTATTTAGTCTTTCCATTACTTATTATAGCCAAGAAGTTGAGCCTTTATCAAGTTTTGGCTCCAAATGCGTTCTCACCAGTGAAAGAATTTGTGCCTATTCTTCAGAAAACAGTGTCATCAACACTGCATGAGGTAGATAATGAGAATTCATTCCTTATTTTCCCTATCCCTTTAGCTGTTGTTATAGATGGTACATATGATTCAGTATATAGTATTTTTAATAAAACTATTACTCTTAGTTCTCTGATGTACCCTCTGGTATTTGTGCTTTCTTTAATGTTTTAAATAGTTTAGATAAACTACTGTCTGAAAAAAATAGTCTAATGCCATCTGAGCTGTCAAAGTGACTCCTTCAAGGCCAATATCTATAGGTGATATTTAAGGAGTCATTGGCCAATACTGATCCAATTTCCAATACAGCTGCATGCAGCTCATAAGTCTGTTGTGGTGGAAGGGGAGGGGGCAGGGAGGGGGCAGATCAATGCCCCTGTGGTGAGGGGGCAGGGGCAGGCACAGCCCAGCTGAGGTGGGGTGTTGATCTGCCCCCTCCACACCCCTTCCTTCCCCCCCCTCCCCTCTTCCACCACAACAGATTTACCAGCTGCATGCAGCTATATCAGAAATTGGTTTGGTAGCGCACTGGAGGCAGGGAGGGGTTCCTGCTGCTGCATGCACCCCAGGAGGGCATAAGGGGAGGCATGTGCCCCCGGATCTGCACAGATCTCCAGCCTGAAGCTGCAGCCCACCCACCCCATCCCATGCAGATCCAGGGGCACACTCACCCCCCATGGCCCCCTGGGGTGAATGCAGCGGTGGGGAACCCCCCCGCCTACAAGCTGTGGCTCCATCCTGCACCCTGCCCTACCCTGGCTGGGCAGCGCCTACGCCTGCCCCTTCCCTGTCTTGCTGTGGGGGGCGTTGATCTGCCACCCCATGCCCCTTCCCTCCCCCCTCTCCTTCCACCACAACGGATTTACCAGCAGCACACAGCTGGTCTATGCTCCTCACTGCATGTGTGCAGCACTGCGGCTGCGCACACGCACAGACATTTATCAGCCAAATTATCGGCCACTTCAGGCTGATTTCCGATATAGCCAATTTTCTTTATATTGGTACCAATCCAATATTGGACTGATGTACTGGTGCACCTCTACTTAAATTAGTTCTACATTAGGGCTGTGCGAAGCTTCAGTCACTGATTTGATTCGGTGGAGATTCGGCCCGATCTTTGAATCTGAATCGAATCAGGAGCCCCATTAATCTGTCCGAATCAAATCAAACCCCTCCGAATCAATTTGGAGAGATTCAGGGAGATTTGATTCAGATGTAGACACAGCTTAAAATTTTTTTTCTACATACCTCAAAGTACCAGGCAGCCTGTGAATGCCGAGAAGCTGGGGCAGATGGAGCATCCCATGGGAGTGCAGGGGGGTCCCCAGCGTGCTCGGCAGTGGACCTGGAAGTGGACCAGAAGCACTTGGCTTGGCGTCTGGTGCCTCCTGGATCTGGGGGGTGCACTCGGGGTCTCCCCATGGCTGATTACCAAGGCGGGGGGGGGGGGGGGGCACGGGGCAGGTACTTCCAGTCCACTTCCAGGTCTGCTGCCAAGCACGTGGGGGGGGCCCCCGTGCTCCTGTAGGACACTCCATCCTCCCCACCATTGCAGCGTGCCAAAGCCACGCCTGGTACGTCAAAGTATGTTAGAAAAAAACATTTAAAGCTGTGTCTATGGCTGAATTGCTGATTCTCCGAATCAGTGTCGAATCTTCAGATTTGGATTTGGCTGAATCGAACTGGGACAGTGATCTGAATCAACAAATTAATTGCTGTCCCTGATTCAGGCCAAATCTGAATCGAATACAACCCGTTTCACACACCATTATTCTACAATGTTCCTGTGCAGGGGCAGTAACTGTTTCAAGGAAAAGTGAAACAAGGGCAGTGTACTATAGTGCAAAATATGGTAGCTGATATTTTCAGTACAATTCCAGGGATTTAACCAGGCATCAGCTACACAGCAGCACCATTTTTTACAAGAATCCTCAAAGCTTACTGATGGAATTATAAGTGAAATTGTATTTTCAAAAGTGTAGTGTTGCTCTTATGGAGAATGAAATTCCTGTTTGTATATATTGCTTGAACTTATCTGGAGTTGAGAACATCCTGCACCTTTGCAAGTTGGTTCTAAATGATTAACTGTCTTTTTAAAGTATAATGCTCCCTTATGGGATTTACACATTACGTCTTCAGACTGTACAGGTAATTCAATCCAAACAGGTGTCAAAGATCTTTTTTAAGATTAAAAAAACAAATAGTACTTATTTAAAAGCTTAATACCTAATCAGTACATATTTAGCTATCCTCATATATTGTGCCTTTTATGCTGAGAAAGATAAATTCAGTCCTGCTATAAGCAAGTGAAACTCCATAGATTTTAACTGATTATACATTTATAGATTAAAGTTGTGTGTTTCTTCATTAAAATGTGTAGGAATGTGAAAATTCAGCAGTCCACATTTGGGCTACTTCAGCAGTCCAACTGTCACAAGAGTTTAGTGTCCCCAGATACCAATTGTCGGGGCTTCAGAAGCTACTCCCTGAAACATCTGAGTGTTTTGTTTATTGTTTCAGAGAGCAATGATGCAGTTTGAATGGCATGATGGAACTGTGAAAAATGTTCATGTGGACCCACCAATATTATACCACTATCAGGTGAGTTGTATTTACTTGGCCCCCTCCCCTTTGTCAAATTACATGTCAGTCAGCCTGAGCAAAGCCCAAGCAATACACGGTTCACAAGGTGGTGCTGAGCATAGGGTGGGGAAAAGTGACCTCTCCCTGCCCTGTGCCTGGCACCCCGCGCTGCAGCCACTCGCAGCCCGCCTGGGGCTGCTCCAGACAGCTCCCCCCTCTCCCTGCTGGTGCAGCCCAGCCTGGCTCCACAGACCCCTGCCAGCCTGTGCCCTGCTTTGGGCCCCACCGGTGCTGGCCATGAAGCATTGGTCCCAAGACATTGAGACATTGGAACCCTGTGCTCCTGCCACCCTGTCAAGGGGCAGGGCTACCCATGCGGCCCTCGGCAGCCTGCCAAAACTGGGTAAGCAGCCCTCTGCCCAAAATCATTGCCTGCCCCGATCTAGCTGGAGGGCAGATGAGGTGGCTGATCTTCTGGCCATTTGGGGCCAGGAGAACACACTTCAACAGTTCAAAGCGGGCCACCACAACGAGCACATCTGGGTGATATCTGCCCAGACAGCAGAACAGGGACACCAGAAGACGTGGCAGCAGTGCCAAACAAAGGCCAGCTGTTTAGCTACGGCCCACTGGCTGCTGGCCCAGAGATGCAGGTGGCTCTGCTACAGTGCCCATACTACAGCCCAGGCAGCCGTGCAGTCCCTATCCAGGTCTGGCAGCCATGGAGCCACAGGTCCAAGAGCTGGATGCTGTTGCAGGTAGCGGCAGGTCACAGCCAGGCAGCAGCCCCCACTGCCAGATTGCTGCAGTTGGTAGAAGGTGCAAGGGCCCCTCTAGGTTAGGGCTACTTCAGCAGTCCAACTGTGACAAGAGGCTAGTGTCCCCAGATACCAATTGGCCGGGCTTTAGAAACTTCTGAGGGCACATAGCCTTGAGCTGCTTGCTAAGGCAGCTTTTTATACTACTGGGGCCAGCACAGGTGCTGGCCCCAGCCTCTAGCTCCCCCTGGTTGAAGATCAGAGAGGAGCTGGCCAGAGTCAATTTGCCCCACTCCAAAGTGCATGTTCAAGCACTGTGCTGAGGCACAAATCTCCAGCACCAATTTGTGCCCTGCTACTTGAGCTGCTGCAGGCGCACGTGCCTGCATATGTGGACACACCCTTAGAGTACATTGCATGTTTCCAGACCTTGTGTGCATTTATATTAAATGCTGTCTATTAAGTTTGCTGTAAACATGGGGTGATACTGCTCTGGATAAAGTTCTCACCTTTTAAAAAAAAATGTTGTTTAGAAATCAGTTTTCTTCATGTATGTGCTGTCCAATATCTTGATAAAGGATAGATAAGAAGCATTCATTTGAGAGAAGTTTGAGTATAACATGAGTACAAGCACCTTTTTATTTTAAATGTCTTAAAAAGACATTTGTTTGTCTTTTTAAGTGGCTTTCTTAAGAGAAAATGCATGACTGCAGAGATACTGGAATCTTTATCTTAAGTGATCATTTGTGCTCCATGTTAATACTTGGATTTTATTCACTCTTTAAGTTTTATAGTTGTTAATAAGTTTTGGAAGTAATATTAATCTGAAATGTTAATATATTAATTTATATTAAAAATCACCACTCAGTTGTTACGCATATTTTATTCACAGAAACAGCTTGGTAGAATGGTGAGAATATATGAAAAACGAATTGACTGGCTTTCAGTTGGCAGCAAAAGAATATGGGGAACTATATGTGAAAGGAGGTATCGTTACTTTGGCAGTACTTCAGTATTAAATGGCAGATGGCCAAAAATTGATCACTATGTGGGACAGTTTTAAAAATACATGTTTGACAGGATTCCCCTTTTAAAACTGTTTTATAGACCTGTCAGCCAGTTTTAATTTGCTTGTGTTATGTTTATTTCTGTATAGCAGAGTTATTCAGTACAGTCACAATACAATTTAAAAAAAAGATAATTTATGCATTATATAGGGCCTTATCTAACTACCAAAGAATTGTAGCTTGTGTGTCATGTGGATCTGGGAACAAACTTTTTGTACCATTTTGGAGTAACTCCATGAACATTCCTGGGGGGTTGGTGTCACTGCAGTTGCCCCCATCTGCTTAGATGTCCTTGAAACTGGCCAGTCACATCTTGGATAACCCATGTTTGTACATAGGGGCAGTAGAGGTGTGGGTTTGGTTTGGTTTTTTTTTGGAGGGGGTGCTTTTTTTTGAGGCCAAGAACCAAAACAGCCCTTCATGTATCCACATCCTGGAGTTACTATGGCCTGAGAAATGTACCATACTACCTGAATGGGTATTGCTTCCATGTAAAAATAAAATCTCAGCTTAAGTTTGTTTTTACTTTCTTTTGCTACCTGCAAGTTATTTACAAGCTTTAATACATGAACAATTGATATTTGACTGGGTATTGAGGTGACTAAAAGATTAAAATGGAGAGAGGGAGGAGAATAATGTCTGTGATTAAGTTCTTTTTTCATTTCTTGTGTAGAGTTGTTATACTGGTTGATATGTCAGTAATAAATTCCTTGTACATCATCTACATCCAACATTCCTTGCGACTTTTGCTTGAAGAACAAATGTCAAACAAGGACTGTTTCAATATTATTGCGTAAGTATCTGTTAAAAGTATATTTTTAAGCACTATGTGTAACATTGTGGATAAGAAGAATGCTGGTAGGTAACTAGAAAATGGACATAACATATTGTATCTACTGTGGAGTATTAGTCTGATCTTATATGGTTATATTTTTTCAGTATTTAATTTATTAGTTTTTGGTTAAGTCATTCTAAGAATAACCTTTAAAAGCCATACATATTCTCCCTTCTCCCCATTGTGTATGGCTAAAGTGAGCAGTGGCCAAACTGGTAATTAAGGATCATCATTTACTCTGTTATATTTATGCTACATAATTTAGCCCACTTTGTAGAATCCAAAATGACTGCTATGCCTACTGCAGTATTCAGAGCAGTTCCAAATTCAAATCTGGGCATCTTAGTCTGCTGCAGACTCCTTCTTGAAATGTTCTATGATTTAAAACAGAAATGGACATCTGAGTGATGCTTCTAGTTCCAAAAGTCAGGTTTTTTCAAGGAATGTATACATTTGCATGTAGTAAAGCAATATCTGAAAATGAATTGCTGTTTTATTTCTCTGGAAGCTTCGGAAGTGATATTACGGCTTGGAAACCAGAAATGGTTCCTTCAGTTCCAGATAACTTGCAAAGTGCCTGGAGGTATGATCAGATGATAATTTGTTAACATTTATGAATTAAGTGAAAATGCAGGTGTTGATGTATCTTAGGACCCAAAGCAATGAACAAATCTGCAGGTTTTAGAAGTTTATTATGCTATAAAACTAGCAGCTGTGTATACTGTTCTGTAGTTTGTCTGGTACTTCCATAAGAACAACATCAGAGGGATTAATGCTTAGTTTCATATATGTGCTATGTTAACAAGTAGAAATTTGTTATTTAAAAACTGCCACCCCTTCACATTTGACTGAGGTCTGAGGGCATATCTGAATTTTTCCAGTATGCTAGCACCAGTTCCAAAAGCTCTGCGAGCCAGAGAACGTTGTCAGTGATGCCTATGAACGTGTACGTGTGAAACCAGTTACAATTTAGCAAACAGTTCTGTTAATATGTGAGAGTAGACTCGTGAGCTCATAAGTCTCACATTCCAGCTTTCTCACATAATGTGATTTACTAATAATCCCACAGTAATGCTGCACCCTAACCTTTATCATTGTTTATGGTAGCTGTAGTACAAAAATTAAGCTAGATCACTTGGGCCAGTGTAGACATGGTTCAAAAGGAGATACTCAAGTCCAGGGTATCACAATGAGGCTTTACTTGAGGCAGCTGGTTCTGGTTACTCTAATTGTTTTCCAGTAGTGGAGATTTTCCATTGCATTATTATTATTATTATTATTATTATTATTATTATTATTATCCACTTTATATTGTGCTAATAAGTAAAACTTTCCATGTAGATGGATATTGAGCCTACAGTGCAAAGGCAGTAGGAATTTTATGAGTGCTCTCAGAAGAGCAACAGAAGTAGACTTCAAAGATAAAGACGAACATGGATCTCAAGGCATTTATGTGCTTACCACTGGAGTTCCTGACCAGGAGATGGTAAGTGTCATTACAAAATTTGAAACACTGAATGCATTTTACAGGATTAATTTCAAGCTTGTTTCAGCTGCCTACAATAGTTTGGGGATAGACTATTTCTGTTACATCTAAGCCTAGCATCAATGCCAGGATCTGAGTTTAGCTCTTGAAATGTTTCATTTGCTGTTTAGGAAATGGTGACAGATGAATCTCAGAATCTTTGGGGGAGTGTTTATAGAATCCCTGTCTCTGAAGGTGTTAGCTTTCATTAGCTCCCTTTCCTCATGATAGTAGGATCACCCTTTTCAATTTGCTGCCACTTTCTGGCAGTCCCTCCTAGCCTACCCTTACTCATGTGGGACCAGCAGTTCCTTTTAAGGGAAGGCAACAGTAGGAGATATAATAGTAGGGTATACATAAGCCTCAGAACAATTATAAACACCTTTGAAGTACTTGGCAGTTTTTCTTTTTGCTTTGCAGCATGCTGTGAGTGCTTATGTGGCTGAAGTCTGTGGTGGTTGTGATCTGCAGCTTCATGTCTGTCTATTCAATATAACAGGGGACTTGGACCCCAGCAGCATTATTCCAGCCCGCTATGCGAGTCCAAACGAAACTGCTAGCATTTTTAAAGAAATAGTATGTGCTGCTAATGGAAGGTTTCACTGGTTTGGAGAAACAGGTATTTTTTTTTAAACTTTCCTCTTTTTATACTTTTGTCTGTAAGAAGACTGTAACACCCGACTGCATGCTGTGGTTCCCAAATGCAAGTAGTTTCCTTTTTACACTGTGATCCCATAACATACTGGCACTGACATGCACAGAGGGCCTGTGCTGGTCAAGGCACTTAGGTGTACAATGGTATAAATATTTAACAATAATGCAGGGTTACTTCATTATTTTAGAGCTTAGTGAGAACTACATAATTACAAGAATTAACTTTTGATAGGCATTTCTAAAGATAAACATTTAGTTTTAATTACTGATATAGTGGGACCCAGGTTGTGTTTAGCCCATGAGGAAGTACAAGTTTGACCCTGTCAGTGCCAGGAAGTGGTGGTCAGACCTGAGGGCCAACAAGGCATCAAGACTGCTGTTATTTAGGTACAAACCAGTCAGAGAGAGCAGTCAGAGTCCAGGGACAAGCCAGATCAGAAAACCGGGAAGTCAAGAGGTGAGTGAAGTCTATGAGTGACCCAAGCCAGAAAACCAGTAGGTCAAAAAGAGGGTAAAGTCCACAAGTAAACTAAGTTGGGAAACCAGGTCAGAAAGCAAGCAGTTACCAGAGGTGTGGCAACCCTGTTGCCTGGATACTTCCTGTTCCATTCCCTTCTCTTACATAAGGGAAGTGGAGGGTCAGGTGACAAAAGCCAGTCACTAAGGCAGGGGCGGGCAATTATTTCAAGTGGTGGGCTGCTTACCCAGTTTCAGCAGGGACCAGTCTTGGGACCAGTGTCCCAGGGCCAGCACTGGTGGGCCCAAAGTGGGGTGCAGGCTGGCAGGGTCTGTGGAGCTGGGTTGGGCTGCACCAGCAGGGAGAGGGGGGAGCTGGCCCGGCTCCATAGAGCCCCTGCCAGCTGGGATCCTGCGCTCCTGCCACCCTGCTCTGGCCCTGCCAGCGCTGACCCTGGGGCACCCGTGCGGGCCCCATGCTCCCAGTGGCTCCCCGCCCACTCACACCCAGTGCCCCCCAGCCCCGTGGGACAGGCAGGAGCAGCACACAGCCCCGACCCCCTGCTTGCTGGCAGGGAAGAAGCTGGTGCTGAGCACAGGGAAAGGCAGCCACTCGCCCACCCCATGGCCGGCGCTCCCTGCTGCAGCTGATCACAGCCCACACGGGACTGTCCAGAGCAGGCTGCGAGTGGCTGCAGCGCGGAGCACTGGCAAGTGAGAGGCCGTTCTTCCCTGTGCTTAGCACCAGCTTGTAACCTGGCCCCACTGCCAGCCTGGCAGTGGGGCCAGGTTACAAGGTGGTGCTGAGCACAGGGTGGGGAAAGCAGCTCCTCACCCACCCCATGCCTGGTGCCCTGTGCTGCAGCTGCTCACAGCCCGCCTGGGACTGCCTGTGCCTGCTCCAGACAGCCCTACGTGGGCTGTGAGCGGCTGCACCAGGCAGCGCCGGCCATGGGGTGGGTGAGGGGCCGCTTTTCTCCGTGCAGGGAAGGAGCCCAGGGAAAAGCTGAACACAGGGGGAAAAGTGGCCCCACCTCACCCTATGGCTGGCACTCCCTGCTGCAGCTGCTCGCAGCCCGCACAGGGCTGTCCCGAGCAGGCACTGGCAGGGAAGGGGCTGCTTGTCCAGAGCAGGCACCGGGCATGGGTGGGGCAGGGAAGGGGCCGCTTCTTCCCCACCCCCTGCGCTCCTTCCCTACCCAGGGTCCCCCTCGCCCTTGCTCCCCCTTCCCAGCTTACCTGTGGTTCTGGCACGAGA